GAGTAGGTCTTGCATAAAAATTGTTTTTAATATCGGCCGGGAATGTTGAAGTTTTCCAATTTGACCTCGTGACATCGTCTCATTTTCAACATCGACAGTATTTAAAACAGAGTCGTAAGCACAGTGACAGTACACAAACACATATATGTACATACACATACGCACACTGGAAGTCACCATAAAGATTGGTTTCAAACTAATACTGCTATACACAGTAGCAGATTTACAGATATGACGATGCTCGACCATTATCGGAAAAGGAGAGGAAACAATATTAGACTACTTATGAGTAGGTCTTGCATATAAATTGTTTTCACTATCGGCCAGGAATGTTTAAGTTTTCCCATCGTCTTATTTTCAATTCGACAGTATTTAAAACAGAGTCGTGAGCACAGTGACAGTACACACACACATACATATACGTACACATACACATACACACACTAGAAGTCACCAAAAAGATTGGTTTCAAACAAATACTGCTACACACAGTAGCAGAGTTACAGAAATGACGATGTTTGATCAGTATCGGAAAAGGAGAGCAAACAATATTAGACTACTTATAAGTAGTTCTTGCATAGAAATTGTTTTAACTATTAGCAGAAAATGTTAGAGTTTTTAGATTTGACTTGACGACATCGTATCATTTTCAGCCTCGACAGTATTAGAAACAGAGTCGTGAGCACAGTGACAGTACACACACACATATATATACATACACATACACACACTGGAAGTAAACAAAAAGATTAGTTTCAAACTAACAGGATGATTATATTCGGCTAATACTGATACACATGGTAATAGAGTTACAAACATGACGATGATTGATCAGTATCGGAAAATGAGAGGAAACAATATTATACTACTTATGAGTAGGTCTTGCATATAAATTGTTTTCACTATCGGCCGGGAATGTTGAAGTTTTCCCATTTGACCTCGCGACATCGTCTCATTTTCAACATCGACAGTATTTAAAACAGAGTCGTGAGCACAGTGACAGTACACACACACATATATATATACATACACATACACACACTGGAAGTCCCCAAAAAGATTGGTTTCAAACTAACATGATGATTATATTTGGCTAATACTGATACAAATAGTAGCAGAATTACAGACGTTACGATGCTTCACTAGTATCGGAAAAGGAGAGGAAACAATATTATACTACTTATAAGTAGGTCTTGCATAAAAATTGTTTTTAATATCGGCCGGGAATGTTGAAGTTTTCAGATTCCACCTGGCGACATCATCTTATTTTCATCCTCGACAGTATTAGAAACAGAGTTGTGAGCACAGTGACGGCACACACACACACACACATATACACATGCACAACCAGGCACGTATGCCAGTGGATCGTAGGGCAGATGTAAATTTAAATGCAGAGGCAAAATCACATTTTCTCAATTTGAAGTGAGGCTGGGTGGAAATAGCTTTTAGGAGGCAAGGTGAAAGGACGATGAAGACACGAGATTTCCTATTCAAAAGCACACATACAAACCAAATGTCTGTACTGCATGTCCACGAAGCAACCGAGATTAACATCACCAGCAACGCAATAAACGATCGTGCCGCAAAATTGACCACACTTCGACAGAATAAGCGATCATTGCAATACTTGCACATCTACCGACAATTTCGCCATCTTTCGTGTTGCCATCCCTTCAGACGAGACTTCTTTCAGCCTGGACAAGTCAGTTACGGGAAGTGTTGGCTTAACGTACAGATTACGTGAAGGTGGGTGATGAAGAGTGTCACTGAAAGATGACGACGAGTCCTCCTCGGTCTGTTGTGAGTGGTTTTCATATTACAATATTTCCTATTTCCCACCTTTTCACAGTTATCCTCACAAAAAAGACGAATTCAAGCATAATCTTGCGCCTAAAATACATTCGAATAAAGCCGAACGGCCATTTTCTCCCATTCTTTTCAGTCAACTGTTGAGAAGAAAAAAAGGATTGTGATGCATCAGAGGGTTTTTATGTGTTTACAGACATAAAAATCCCAAATGTGAGTCACGGGAATTGATGACAGTGCATGGTCATCAAATTTTATGACCCAAGTGTACACTCGCGTCCTTTGGCGTGATTGGTCACACAAATTAACAAGAAAAGAGAAGGGCAAACTAAAACGGAAATACCCCTGAACACAAACAGTAAAATGAACTGATGCCAACTATCAAATTTACTCTCTTCCTAACCAAACTGGCCATTTGTGTTATAAGTTTGAGGCAATTTAGGAATTATTTTCTCACCAAATAGTTCAATATCTCGTTCCATTAGCCTGAGCCCGACAGAGATCTCGTCACCGCTGACGGACACAGTGGGCTCCTGAAGTCTTAATGGGCTCAAATTGAGCTTTAGTGATTTGCACAAATAGTCGACGATCAACTTTGTCATGTAGTTTGACATTCCCTTTTCGTAGGTTTCTACCATTTTAGGGGGCAATTTGGCGCAATCCGTGCCTAAGAGTAGAAAAAAAAACACCAAAACCATCATTTTATAAAAACTGAACAAGGACGCATAGAATAGATTCCCTGATGCATCAATCCACATACGAGCACATGTGCACACTATTTTTTAAACAAATTGCAAAATTTAACTAAATAAACATACTACTAGTAAATAATCAGTAACACCATAAAGTTACCACGCAATTTAATATTTTAGGGTGCTTGAGAATAATAACCCGGCTTTAAGAGTTAGGTGGAAACGTAGAGAGGTGACTGTCTGACTGTAAAAATGCAATTTGGCTGTTTTAACAAGAGTTGGTTGAGAAAATGTCACCTCACGTAAACTGAAAACCAACACAGTGTACAATAGAATTTCACCAGACTGGCCTTACATTTGAGTATCAGTTGAAAGAGGACATCTTCCGACATGTAAAACTCAGACACGTCGAAATCCCAAGGATTATACGAAGCAAGGGCAGGACCAATTGTGCTGTTAATTGGCACGACAAAGTTGGGACTTTGAAAATCGTAGAAGTTTTCCCATTGTCTGAGTTGCACATTGTCACCTTTGTCCATCTGAAATGGAACAATTATGCATTAAATTAGTCATTGAGTGCCAGATACGCATCATCCACTCACGCAAACGTGCATCTACAAGTCGGTTTTTTCAATTCGTGTTTGTCTGTAAAATATTGTACTGCCATCTTGCTTGGACAGTCGAGTTGGATCAGGACTGACACATTTTCATTCTCGCAAAAGTCCCAACTTAACACCAAGTCAAGAAGACTGTCCGGCTCTATCCTGCATTGTATGCATGTTGATAACAAAAGACTAAAATACATGAACACGGATGCAGAGATATGGAATCATTTGACCAGCACTCATTCATATAAGTCATGGTACAGTTAGTTGAATGTATGCATGCGTGTGTGTGTGTGTGTGTGTGTGTGTAAGCATTAGGAATTATAAGAAATAAGCCAAATGTCAGTCTCGTATCATCAAGACGTAAGTCTGCAAGTCAATTTGGTTGAATCCATGTCATGTAAGGCTGTA